TATAAAATTAACTCAACTCTCAAAATGGAAGATTTTATTAAAAACCATGAAGAGGACTTAAAAAGACAAGAGGGAGAAGAATACAGTGAAACCGAAGAAGGAGAAATTCTAGGGGCGACAGCCGCACAGAAGAGTAAAAAGAAAACAAACAAACAAAAAGGAAAACCAGTACCCTCCCAAGTAACCACTAGATTCCAACAAAGAAGCAGAAATGAGAAACAGAAGAATACCGAAGATGCAGAGTAATAAATTAAAAATAATTTCAATTAACGTAAATGGATTGAATGGACCGAACAAAAGAAATCAAATTTTCCAACAAATAAAGAAAATGAATGTAGATGTAATTTGTTTTCAGGAGACTCATATTAAATACTCAGATAAGAAATTATTGGACAATAAAAAGTTGGGTAAGGCTTTTACCTCTACAGATAAACAGAAAAAGAAAAAAGAAGTAGTAAGTTATGTCAAAAAACCATCTACATCCAGAACTGATTTATGATTCAGAAGATGGAAGAATACTACTAGTGCAAATTCAGAGACAATCTAAAACTATGTTAATTGCAAACATATATGCCCCCAAATCAAGACAAAGAAAAATTATTTGAAACACTACGGAATATCATAACGAAACAAGACTTTGAAGAGTTATGTGTAGCCGGAGACTATAATGCGATCTATGATAGGGCAACAGATAGAAAGAAGCAGTTGGGAAATAAGAACCAAGGAAGTGAATTGCCAAAAGCATTTCTAAAAATCGCTGAAGAGCTAAATCTTATAGATACTTGGAGGGTGAGAAACTTTCATAAAAGAGATTTTACATTCTTCTCAACAAGTCATAAATCCTGGTCAAGACTAGACATGGCATGGGTTACGCCACCCATGATAAACGATTTAATCAAAGCAGAGATTTTGCTAGCGACCTTTGCAGATCATAATCCACTACAAATTACTATCCAAGATACCCCAAAAAGAACTAGATGGAACTTGAACACATGGTTGTTAAAAGAGGAAAAATTATTATAGAGACTAAATTAGAGTTTAAATAATTTTTTAAACAAAATATTCAAAAAGATATTGACATTGCCATAGTCTGGCAAGAGGACGTTTTATTAGACAAAATGCATGGGTCAGGAAACAGCGGAATCAAAAATTTGTTGTGATTGAAAGACAAATTAAAGAACAAGAAGAAAAGTAAAAAAACATCTGACATCGGAACAGATAAGAATAAAGGTTAAAATCCTACAACACCAAATGAACAATCTTCTTACTCAGGAAATAGCAAAAAAATTACTTATACAAAACAAAATTGCTTTGAAAATGCAAATAAAATTTCAAGATGGCTAGCTTACAAATTAAGAAAGGAACAGCAGAAGAGACACATTAAAATATTAAGAGACGAGTGGGAGAGGAAAAGTTTGAGATGAAGGGTTTGAAAACGATTGCTGAAAACTTTTATAAAATATTATATAATAAACAAGGAGATAATCAAAAGGAAATTAGAGTTCTTTAAAAATTATCAAAATATTAAAACATTTACTGAAAACCAAAGGAAGTGCTTAAACGACCCAATCTCAATGTCAGAAATAACAGCTGTGATCAAAAATCAGAAAAAGCGAAAACCCCCGGGGCCAGATGGAATACCTGCTGAGTTTTATCAAATATTTGAAGAACAGATAGCTCTCCCTTTAAAAAAAATACAATACATAATATTATACAAAAGAAAACTGTACCTGAATCTTGGAATGAAGCGCTAATCACATTAATATCGAAACAAGAGACTGATGGGAAGGATATTAAAAACTATTGCCAAACTCCTTATTGAACATAGATTATAAAATATATGCTTCAATTTTAGCTTCAAGATTTAAGAGAGTGCTAGGACAAACAATTCACCAAGATCAGGCAGGATTCTTACCCAAAAGGTACTTAAAAAACAACATAAGAACTAGTTTAAATGTCTTGGAATATTTTGAAATGCATCCGGGAGAACAGATGGCATTGGTCTTCCTCGACGCAGAGAAAGTGTTCGATAACCTTAATTGGAATTTCATGTTAGAATACTTAACAGCTTCACAGTACAGAGAAAACTTTAACGCCATGGTCCAAACAATTTATAATATACAATACACCAAAATTACAATTAATGGAGATCTAACGCAGAAGATTCATATTCAAAAAGGTACAAGGCAAGGATGACCTCTATCACCATTGCTTTTTATTTGCCCTTAAAATATCGAATGATATTGTTAGAAATTTACAAGAGGCGGGACCTGCGATACTCGCGGGGGGGAGGGACCTCCACACATGAGGCAGAGGAGGAAGCAGCAGGAGGAAGTAAGTTCCCCCCGATCCCGCCAGTTCCTCCCCCGTCTCCTCCACCCCCCCGCTCGATCTCCCCCCCTTCTCCCCGGCTTCAAAGCGAGCCAGCGCTGTCCGAAGACGTTTCTGTGGTCATGTGGCCGGCATGACTAAACACCAAGGCGCACGGAACGCTGTTACCTTCCCACCAAAGTGGTACCTAGGGCCTCGCTCCTCTTCCCCCCCCGCCGCCTCCGAAGCAAGGCCCGAGCAGCTTGCCGCTTGGGCCTCGCTGCTGTCTCCCCCCCGGCTTCGAAGCGAGGCCCAAGCGTCTTGCCGCTCGGAGTGTAGGTGAAACTTCACTTCTGGGATGCTGGGGTGACACCCTGGTATTTGAGCAAAAACTCTATGGTAAATTTGACCTCTACAATAGAGTTTTTGCTCAAATACTATAGGGTCACACCTGAGCTCCTGGAAGTGATAATGTCACTTCTGGATCACATGGGATGCACATAGAAATGTCACTGCACTGCACTGGGAAGATTTTCCCTCTTTTTTGGGTTAAGTCCCTCCCCCCCACTAGCTGATCAGTGGCAAGGAGGTGGGGCCTAGCACTGCAGGACTCCCACCTTCATTGGGGAGTCTGGCAACCCTACATTCAGAAGCAGTCATCCTCTGAATCCCAGAGCCAGGAGGAAACATCAGGAGAAGACCTCAGCCTCTATGCCCTGCTGTTGGACCTCCAGAGGAAATCCTTGAGGCCACTGTGTGAGACAGGTTGCTGGACTAGATGGACCCTCACTGGTCTGATCCAGCAGGGCTCTTCTGAGGTTCTTCTCAGGGGAAGGGCTCGGCCTCTTTGCCCTGTTGTTGGGAGGCTGGACCAGATGGACCCTCACTGGTCTGACCCAGCAGAGCCCTTCTGATGTTCTTCCCAGGGGAAGGCTTTGGCCTCACTGCCCTGTTTGTTTGGCTGCCCAGAGGAACTGGCTGGCCACTGTGTGAGACAGGATGCTGGACTAGATAGACCACTGGTCTGACCCAGCAGGGCTCTTCTGAGGTTCTTCTCAGGGGAAGGCCTTGGCCTCTCTGCCCTGTTGTTGGCCCTCCAGAGGAACTGGTTGGCCCCTGTGTGAGATGGGATGCTGGACGAGATGGACCCTCACTGGGCTGATCCAGCAGGGCTCTTCTGAGGTTCTTCTCAGGGGAAGGCCTCAGCCTCTCTGCCCTGTTTGGCCCCCCAGAGGAACTGGTTGGCCACTGTGTGAGACGGGAGGCTGGGCTAGATGGACTCTCACTGGTCTGATCCAGCAGGGCTCTTCTGACCCAGCAGAGCCCTTCTGATGTTCTTCCCAGGGGAAGGCTTTGGCCTCACTGCCCTGTTTGTTTGGCTGCCCAGAGGAACTGGCTGGCCACTGTGTGAGACAGGATGCTGGACTAGATAGACCACTGGTCTGACCCAGCAGGGCTCTTCTGATGTTCTTCTCAGGGGAAGGCCTCGGCCTCTCTGCCCTGTTGTTGGCCCTCCAGAGGAACTGGTTGGCCCCTGTGTGAGATGGGATGCTGGACGAGATGGACCCTCCCTGGTTTGACCCAGCAGGGCTCTTCTGGTGTTCTTCTCAGGGGAAGGCCTCGGCCTCTCTGCCCTGTTTGGCCCCCCAGAGGAACTGGTTGGCCACTGTGTGAGACGGGAGGCTGGGCTAGATGGACTCTCACTGGTCTGATCCAGCAGGGCTCTTCTGAGGTTCCTTTCAGGGGAAGGCCTCGGCCTCTCTGCCCTGTTGTTGGCCCTCCAGAGGAACTGGTCGGCCAATGAGTGAGACAGGATGCTGGACTAGATGGACCCTCCCTGGTCTGACCCAGCAGGGCTCTTCTGATGTTCTCCTCAGGGGAAGGCCTCAGGCTCTTTGCCTTGTTGTTGGCCCTCCAGAGGAACTGGTTGGTCACTGTGTGAGGCAGGATGTGAGACAGGATGCTGTGGCCAACCAGTGTGAGATGGATTTTGGCCATCTAGTTCAACATCCTGTCTCACATTGGTGGGCCATCCTGTGTGACGCAGGATGCTGCACTGGAGGGACCTTCACTGGTCTGATCCAGCAGGGCTCCTCTTGTGTTCTTCTCAGGGGAGGGCCACGGCCTCCATGCCCAGCTGTTGGCCCTCCAGAGAGACCTTATTACTGACTGTGTGAGTCTAGATGGAGCCTCCCTGGTCTGACCCAGCAGGGCCCTTCTGCGGTTCTCATGGTCTTAAACGAGAAGCTCCATCTAGCCCTGCCCACTTTCTAAAACGCTTGGAGGGTGCCAAGGAAAGGTGCTGTTGGGCGCCCTGGGACCTGTGGGCACCACGTTGAGGACCTCTGATCTAGCCAGTTTTAATCCTGACAAAATATTGGCAGTGTCTGTACAGAAAAGCTCAAATTAGGAACCGCCCTCCTGTTATCCTGCAACCAAGAGCGTGAAACTGCAGGTCGCTGTGTGCTCCATGGGTGTCCGCTGGGATTCCTGCGGAAGGCGAGCTCAGCCGGGGGGGGGGGGGCTGCCACCCGTACCTCCACGTCAGTGCTTGCTCACCGAGGGGTACGTGCCGTCGTGCCTGGCGCCCACAGGGACCAAAGAGCGGTGGGGTTCTGGGTGCAGGAGTGGACCCCCTGGGGTGAGGGGGCCTCCCCCCACCTCACCTTCTCTCCCCTCTCTCCCCTCAGTGTGCCCCTGCAAAGGGGGCGTTGCCTGCACGGGCTCCGGCGAGTGCTGCCACCCGGAGTGCCTGGGGAGCTGCAGCGCCCCCCGGGACCACCAGGCCTGCGTCACCTGCCGCCACTTCTACTTCAACGGCCTCTGCCTGCGTTCCTGCCCGGACCGCACCTACCAGTACGAGAGGTGGCGCTGCGTGACGGCCGAGGACTGCGCCAGCCTGCGCAAGGTGTCGGAGAATCCCCGGGAGTCCTCCCAGTTCGTAATCCACCAGAAGCAGTGCCTGTCGGAGTGCCCGTCCGGTTACCAGAGGAACGAGAGCAGGTAAGGGGCCTCCCCGCCTCGTGGCCTGGGGGTGGGGGGCCTGCGAGCCGGTCCGTTTGCCTCCAGCCTAAGGGGCCGCGGCTTCCAAAGCATCCCGCGGGCACGTTTGTCTGGGCCTTGGGACCTGCAGACCCCACCCACCCACTCCCACCCACTCCCACCGGCAATGTCCTGACCCAGGGTTGTGACCTGGTGTGCGCCTCTGTTGCGATCGCCTGTTGGGTGTGCTTGTCACCTGACCCAGGAGGAACAGTCGAGCAGGTCCCCAAACCTACGCGTCTCCCCCCCCCCGCCCCCCCCGTGGGGCCAGGTTCTCTCTGCCTCTCCCCCGGGCCTCTCCCTCAGTCTCTCTCCCCCCCTCCTCGTCTTCAGCATCTTCTGCCACAAGTGCGAGGGCCTGTGCCCGAAGGAGTGCAAAGTCGGCACCAAGACCGTGGACTCCACAAGGGCGGCGAAGGACCTCTCCGGCTGCACGCTGATTGAGGGCAACCTGATCATCAACATCCGCCGGGGGGGTGAGTGTCTGGGCCGCAGGTGGGCGCCCACCAGGCCGCCTTCCCAGAAGGACCTGGGTTTCGAAAGAGCCGTGTGTCGGTGTCATGTCAGAAAGGTGGGCCGTCTGTGCGGCCCTTGATGTCTCTCTTCACCCGAAACGAGCCCCAGCCCACTTAAGTGAGCCAGTTTGGTGTAGTGGTTGAGTGTGCGGACTCTGATCTGGGAGAACCGGGTTTGATTCCCCCACTCCTCCACTCGCAGCTGCTGATGTGACCTTGGGTCAGTCACAAGCCCTGGCACAGCTGTTCCTGAGAGAGCAGTTTCTGTCAGAGTTTCCTCCCCCTCCTCCTCCTCCTCCTCCTCCTCCTCCTCTTCTTCTTCTTCTTCTGTCCCACTGGGCTGGAGTGAAGATGGCCCCTCAGCCTCTTTGTGTCTGTGGTGGGGAGGGGGGAGGGAAAAGGAGTTTGTCAGCCGCTCAGAGACTCCGAGAGAAAGGCCAGGGGTATGAATCCAATCTCCTCTTCTTCTCTTCTTCTTTGTTTCTGCCACACAGATTGGGGGATGTACTCAGCGGGCCTTGATCCTAAGCGGCTAGGCCACAATGAGGAGTTGACCTCTCCCAGTTTATCCATTCATTCCCTTCAAAATTCTACTCTCTGCTTCCACCAGCAGGCCATTAATAGAATTGCAGCCCGATGGCTTGCTGTCGGATCCTTTATTTATTTTATTTATTTATTTAACTTTCAATTTCTAGACCGCTCAACCCCCAAAGGGCTCTGAGCGGTTTACACAGTACAATTAATTTACTCTACCTCACTAGGGCCACATATAATGAGGGGAGATGACTACCTTTTGCTCCAAGAGTCCCCATCCTCTTTGAGCCTGCAGGCATCTTTGGAATTCGGACGCAGGGTGATGGACGCCGGCCACAAAGTGTCAGTCAGGCATAACTCTAATAGGAACTCTTCAACATGATTCCAGGCAGACTCTCTGTTTAACAAGTTGCCTTTTAAAATGAACATATTGTTTAAACACATTTTCTTGTATTCCCAAAACTTACCTTCAGTCATACAGAGAAGATCCTTGTCTTATGGGGGCAGCTGCTGCTGATGCAGTTTAAAAAAACAAACAAACAAACCTCCAGTGGCCAATTGGAAGCCTTGCTGGGCAAAAGATCCACTTGGCCCCGCCCACTTCCCAAGAACATTTGGGAAGCCTCAGGGAAGGTGTTGGTGGGTGCCCTGGGGGACCCCTGCGCTATTCCAATTCAGAACCCCCCTCCTCTGGCACAGCTGTCCTCGAAGAAGGGCAGTTTCTCTCAGAGCTCTCTCAGCCCCACCTACCTCACAGGGGGTGTCTGTTGTGGGGAGGGGGAGGGAGAGGAGTTTGTAAGCCCCTCTGAGACTCCTCCTTTGGCTAGTGAAGGGCCGTGGGGTATGAATCCAATCTCTTCTTCTTTCTCATCTTCTTGATTTATCCAACGTGGAGTCGGGGCGGGGGGGGGACATCTTGCAACCTCACCTGTCCGAGGCATTCTTAGCTAAGCAGATGCTCTTGGCTTCTTCTCTCATCCCTTGATCCACGTGAGCCAAGCCACGTGGCGCCTTTGTGGGTGTGGAGACCAAATGGCTGTCATTTCAGAGAAAGAATAATCTATCGGTCAGTATGTAAGCAGGCCACAGATGCAAAAATGAAAGAGTACAGTTGAAAAGCAGCTA